ATTCAAAAACTCTCTGTGTGATCAGGTGCTTGGAGGCGAGCCATGGAACAGCCACATACAAGAGCCAAGACGGCGAGGACCCCAAGCATGAGGGACAAGAAGAAGAGCTGTCGTGGAAGCTTCAGGTGTCGGACGACCGACCAAGTCCGGACGTCCGACGAGTCCCAGGACACGGACGACCGAGCTCTCCGGACGTCCGGTACCTGGCCACCCGAACCAAATCTACGGAAGTCCGAGACGCCCCGGACGACTGGGCGACAAGCACCCGAGCCAAAACTACGGACGACCGACAGCCTACGGACGTCCGGTCCATCCAGAAGCTCCGGACGACCGACCCTCTCCGGACGTCCGACGCACCCAAGACAGAGCCAAATCTATGGACGTCCGAGCCCTGCCGGATGTCCGGACCGTCCCGAGCCTCCGGACGTCCGACGTCTTCCAGACGTCCGACACCTGAGTGACCGCGGCCGCGGGCTGGAGCCCTTGTACCCGTTCACTTTGACTTCTATTTGCACTAAGACTATAAATAGGCCTCTCCCACCTCCTATCTAGGGTTAGCATAGGTTTAGCTCATATTTTGTGTGAGAGCCTTGCTCATCCACTTGGTTACTTCTCCTCGAAGCTCGGGACCTCTTCGGAGAATATCCCCCAAGCGGATTCAAGACCCCTTTCTAGGGAAGACCATCAAGACCTCCGTACGGAGAAGAACTGTTCCTTTGTATCCTTATCTTTGTTGATTGTGAATCATATGTTACTCTTTGTTGTCGGTGATCTAGCATTCGTGTGATTGATTACTTGTCGGTTGAGTGTTTCTCTCGTTCTCCCCGTGTTTTTCCCTCTAGTTCTTCCGCGTGTTCTTCGTGATTCCCCGTAGGATCCACTCCAAATGTGAAAGATCGCCCACATAGGGTTCCACCTTACATCAATAGATGCACGGGTAAAACTCAAATAAGAAGATCCAATCTGAAAGTTCAACTAAAGAACTTCGATTTGCAAAAAGAATCAGTCGAATCGGAGCTACGAAACTCAAACTACGATCAAAAGAAGTTTGAATTCAAATCTGCTTGAAACCAAATTTTAATTTGTCAAAATCCTGTTCAAATTGATTAACTAGAAATAGGGGCTCGAGACAAAGATTTTGGCGTTGGTTTAACTGGATTTGGACGAACGGTTAAAAAGTTGCGGGGGTTTGAAGATCAGGGGCTGATCTGTGATAAAAATAATCGCGGATGGGTCCCTGTTGAAAAAAATAAAATAAAAAGAAAAAATATCGGACGAACGCCCGCTAAAACAGAGATAAATGAACAAATTCATTCGTTAAAATGAACTAATGAATGAACGTTCGCAGATTAGATCTAAACCGAGAAAACCGATCTAATAAAAAAAACGAACTAGGGTTTTCAAAACCGAACGGTTTATACCTAAAACCAGAAAAAACGGCGACGACGAAGTCAACAGCGGCGGCGGGTGGCGGCTCCAGCGGTGGCGCGACGCAGCAAGGCGGCGGGGCGTCGGTGCGGGCGGCGGGGTGGGGCGCAAGCGGCGGCGACAGGCGACGGCGCTGGCGGCGGCGGGGCGATGTGGGGGCGAGGGGGCGGCGGCGCGGGCGCGGCCCGGCTCGGCTGGGCCTTCGGCCCAGTCGGGCGGCGAAGAGTTCTTTTTACAAATTCTGCCGAAACAAAAAAAAATCCTAATTAAATATAATTTTTTTTTCTGAAAATGCCAAAAACAATTTCACCGTCTAAATAGAATATTTAGAACATAGTGAACATTTTTCTAGCCTAAGAATGCAATTTTGAAAATGCATATTTTTCTAATTCAAATAAAATAGCAATTAAAATCCAAATAAAATATTTATTTGATTTTAACATTTTCCTCCAATATTTCTTTTATTTTGGAGAAGTCATTTTATCTCCTCTCTTTTATTTTAATATTGGAAATATTCGGAGAGAAAAACATTAGAACCAAAATGCTCCTCTTTTCAAATTTGAGAAAATTCAAATATGAAAATAAATGAAATCCCCAACTCTCTCTCTGTGGGCCCTTGAGTTGCTTAGAATTTTTAGGATCAAAACCAAAATGCAAATAAAATATGATATGCATATGATGACCTATGTATAACATTCCAAATTGAAAATTTGGGATGTTACAGAAAGGGGGGCCGGCCCCCTCCCAATTCGGATTGGGCTTGGGGGGGCACCTTGGCCTCCTCCTCCTCCTCTCTTCCACCATGGCCCATTAAGGCCCATTAACTCCCCAGGGGGGGGGGGTCCGGTAACCTCCCGGTACTCCGGAAAAATGCCCGAACCACTCGGAACCTTTCCGGTGTCCAAACATAGCCTTCCAATATATCAATCTTTATGTCTCGACCATTTCGAGACTCCTCGTCGTGTCCGTGATCACATCCGGGACTCCAAACAATCTTCAGTACATCAAAACACATAAACTCATAATACCGATCGTCATCGAACATTAAGCCTGTGGACCCTACGGGTTTAAGAACTATGTAGACATGACTGAGACTCACTTCCGGTCAATAACCAATAGTGAAACCTGGATGCTCATGTTGGTTCCTACATATTCTACGAAGATCTTTATCGGTTAAACCGCATAGCAACATACGTTGTTCCCTTTGTCATCGGTATGTTACTTGCCCGAGATTCAATCGTCGGTATCTTAATACCTAGTTCAATCTCGTTACCGGCAAGTCTCTTTACTCGTTCCGTAATGCATCATTCCGCAACTAACTCATTAGTCACATTGCTTGCAAGGCTTATAGTGATGTGCATCACCGAGAGGGCCCAGAGATACCTCTCCGAAACACGGAGTGACAAATCCTAATCTCGATCTATGCCAACCCAACAAACATCATCGGAGACACCTGCAGAGCATCTTTATAATCAACCAGCTACGTTGTGACGTTTGATAGCACACTAAGTGTTCCTCCGGTATTCGGGAGTTGCATAATCTCATAGTCATAGGAACATGTATAAGTTATGAAGAAATCAATAGCAACAAACTAAACGATCATAGTGCTAAGCTAACGGATGGGTCAAGTCAATCACATCATTCTCTAATGATGTGGTCCCGTTCATCAAATGACAACTCATGTCAATGACTAGGAAACTTTAACCATCTTTGATCAATGAGCTAGTCAAGTAGAGGCTAGTGACACTCTGTTTGTCTATGTATTCACACATGTACTAAGTTTACGGTTAATACAATTCTAGCATGAATAATAAATATTTATCATGATATAGGGAAATATAAATAACAACTTTATTATTGCCTTTAGGGCATATTTCCTTCATCCATGCTAGTCTCCTGTTGCTGCGAGTTACAGAGAGAGAGAGGGAGAGGTCTTGAGGAGACAGAATGAAGAAGAAAAGGAGAGATGGACATAGCAAGCAACAGGGGAGCGCGCGACGGAGGCGGTGGTCCGGCAAGCTGGCAACGCCCCGGTGCGAACGAGGCGACGGAGGGGCTCGATCGGGAGCTCTTCTCATGATCCAGATCGGGATCGAGAGAAGTGGTCGGGCGCTCTGGTGGCTAGAACGGCGTACGGGCGGTGCGCGGGCTTGGCGGGCCCCGGATGGGCTTCAGCGGGCTCCATGACTGAGAGGGAGACATGGGCGCGTGGGAGACGCCAAGTGGTGGCGAAGGAGTTGGGCGGTGCGGAATCCAGGAGGGCGGCGGCGGCTGCAGGTAGGTGGAATAGGGTTTCAAAAATGGAAGGGTTAGGCCTTCCATTTATAGCAGGTTTGGCTAGGGTTTGGGTTTTGGGGTGTTTTGGGGCCGTTCCATCTCGATCGGACGGCTTCAGACGAGGAGTAGTGATGGTGGGTTAGATGGGTTGTATAGAATGGCAGTGTGGGAGGCCTCGGACTGAGAATAGAGGTAATTGGGTGGCCCGACACAGGTTCTATTGAAAAAATGTCCAACAATTAAACCGGGTATGAAACGACCTCCGAATGCGACTAATTTTGGCAGACGGTCTACCTATAAAATAACAAGACCGCACGCCAACTTTCAACTCATTTCGAGAATGTTTTATTCTCACTTAGGAAATAATTTTTAATGATGGCGCGACCGCGTGCAAGTGTGTGGTTGGTCTCAGAAAGGTCAACGACAACAACGGGGAGAAACGACAACTATGAACGGATGCATGTTTTATGAAAACATGCAGATGCAATGCCATGATGCCATGATGAAATGCAACAAGCAAACAATTAATGCGGCTAACACGAAAACATGGAAGGCATATGGAGCGTCGGTCTCGGGTCATTACAAAGGTTGTGGACGGGCTCCCCCTGCAAGTAGGCGACGACGGTGCTGAATGATGACTACTTCTCCGTCGCCATGGTCTCCATGGCCGCCATGGACGATGTCGTACGTAAGACGCGAGTGGAGTCGGCTGGGAGCACAACGACATCAATAAATTTTAGGAGGGCGATGGGATCGGGTGGGAGCACATTGGCGACAATAAATTTTAGAAGAGAGATAGGATCGAGGCTGAGGGGTTGAGGCAAGATTCGGAAATGTGTGCATAAGTTGATGAAGTTTCCTCTTTCTCGAGTTGTGCCCTTGTGCGTACGTGGCAGATTTTCGCGCGGGGGTGGGGGGAGGATCGATCGGTTGAGCCATCATGATAAGGGGGGAGATTGGTAGATTGAGCCATCACGGCGTTTAATTCTTTTTTATTTAATACTGAAAATAGAGATCATCAATTCGCCAAAAAAATGATCACGCCCTTATTTCCAAAACTTTTGGTAGGGCTTGCTTGGGAGCAAACATTGCTCTTACTCGGGGATTAAATTACGGCAGGTCGAAGACGATCGGGAAAAGGATCACACGATCTTCCCGTGTTACAAATCCCAAATCAATCCCAACTCCTTCCGGCTTGGCTTGGCTTTGCTTCGCTTCCGCATGCCTCCTCCTCGTCGCCATCTTCCCAAACCCTAGCCCGCGCCGCCCTTTCCCCCGAAACCCTAGATCTCCCTATGGCCTCCGCCGCTGCGGCGGCCCCAGTCGTGGGCCAGGTCGTGGAGCGGTTCCGCGCGCGGCTGCGGGAGGAGGCGGGAGAGGAGCCGGGGGCGGCCGCGGTGGTGGGCGTCTACAAGGAGGCCCTCGCCGAGCTCACCTTCAACTGCAAGCCCATCATCACCGAGCTCACCATCATCGCGGGTCAGCACGCCGCGCTCGCCGCCAGGGGCATCGCCGACGCCATCTGCGCCCGCATCCTTGAGGTGGTTGCTCTCCCTTCCATGCTTTTCCCGAGGGCGGTCATGTTGTATTTTGAGAAAGAAAGGCTTGGGATTTGAGGGCTAGGTCTGCATGAGGAGCTGCTTGCTGTGCTTATTCGCCGATGCTTACTTGTAGATTTCCGCTGGTGCTAGGGTTTGCTCAAAGTTGAGAAGTTTCGTGAAACCACTGTTAAAGTTTGGGCTTGATGTCCTTTACACACCCTTTGTCCCTAGAATAGTGTATTCACTGCATTTTCATGCGAAACATTTGGATGCGTTGCTGCTCATGTAGTGTGCAATCTCAGAGTTACTGTTTGTAGATACGTTGCTGGTTACAAATTCGACAGCTAGAATTTAGTAATCACAGTGACTTGGATTTAGGAGTTTTGAAACAAATAAATGCAATTTGAGTTGTATACACTGTGATCTAATTTGCTCTGTCTATTCTTAATACTGTATTATTATTTTTCTGATATAGGGTACATAATTGGTAATGTGGTTGAAACCCACCTTGTGCATAGGCATTGTGGTTGCATATTTTGGTTGCCAGATACGGCAACTGCTATTTTGGCTAGGAACTTTTGAGAGGGTGAAACTGAATAAAATTAGCAGTGGAGACAGTTAGTTATGATGAAAGCTGGTTTTCTGGGATACTTTATTCTGTTCAGATGTCCTGTTGTCAACTTGTAAAATAGGATTGCAGCCTGAAGTGGAAGTGTTAGGGAATAGTATTTTAGAACTATGGGGATTACTGGATTGGATGTGAACCACTTAGATGTTACTTGGCAGATATGATTTTGTCTATTTATGTTTGGTGATAGAACAATGTTTCCTTTTTCTTTTCTGAAGAGGGCATTATGCATTTATAGATGGAAAAATATGAGAGTTAATCCTGGTAGAATTTTTATTTTACATGCTTGCTTCTATCAATTATCTCTACACCTAAGGTTTGTTTGCATGATAGGCATCATTCTGCAATGTTCTTGCAGGTGCCAGTCGAGCAGAAATTGCCATCTTTGTATCTGCTAGATAGTATCGTGAAGAACATAGGACGAGAATATGTAGAGGACTTTGCCACTCGATTGCAGAAGGTATTTTGTTTTGCATACAGGGAAGTTCATCCCAAACAGCATCCTGCAATGCGACACCTCTTCCGTACCTGGTCGCAAGTGTTCCCTTCTTCTGTCCTTCAAGGGATCGAGGATGAGCTTCAGTTTTCTCCTTCAGAGAATAAGTGTCCTGCCACAACGACTATTCCGCGACAGTCAGAGTCGTTATCTCCTAGGCCATCTCATGGCATCCATGTAAATCCAGAGTATCTAGAAGCGCAACACCAACTCAAGAACGGTACCAAGGTAGGAATATTGTTATATCCGTTAAATGGGACAGTTCAATAATGGCCAATAGTTGGGTGTATTTTTTGGAATTCAAGTATGTTCTGTTATCCTCTGTGGCTGGCAACCTTTGAGGCCTGTTGCAGATCAAAATTAAAATTGTTGAAGTCAGTAACTTTTAATAATCAGGTGGATCAGCTAGCAACTCGAGGCAGGCAAATGCTTGACGTGGTGGAGGATCATATTAATGGGTTAACAACAAATAGTTTGCGGGGATTTCCTTCCACTTCTTCAAAGCTCCAGGTATTCAGTATTCCATCTGCCCTTTTGCTCCTTTTGTCATATCTTTTCCTTTGTGTCCTGCTCCTAGTCTGGCTTCCAAACCTAGGAGCCGTTCTCTGTGTATGAACTAGAGAAGTTGTACTCTTCTCATTTTGAGTAGTTGGTAGTGCTTCCATGCTTTCATCCGTAAATAATTGCACAAATTAAATCGTATTGTCAGTAGCGGAGTACTTGGTGGTAGCAACTTGCAAGTCGGACCTTTTGCATTTTTCACCCTTTTTAGGTATGCAACATATCACCTGCCTTGTCTTGGAAATCCACATAACCGAGTATGTTGGGGCTTCCAACTTACATTATTATAGATTTTGGTAGCATAACAGTGTAAACCGAGTCATCAAGGTCATAAGCAAAGCATTACAAGCAGTCAAGCACCCCACATACAGTCTCATCATTCCAAGTTCTTGTGTAGGAGAGCATATGATGTGGGGCAAAGCCATATTTGATGCTCAATCTTCACAACAAGGAGAGAAAACACAAATAGCTCAAGAAACACAAGAGGATAAACTAGATTGAACAAGTTTCATCACACATGTGCTTTCCAAACACGCAAACAAAGATACACATAGATCCACAAGCAACAAGCAGGAAGTAAAAGCTCTTCCAAAACATCTAAGAGAGGTGGGGCCTTGAGAGACGTTCTTCTCCAAATCCTAGTGGGAAAGGAGGCCTTGGTGCTCCAATTGGTGAATCCTTCTCCCTTAGGATGCCTTGGGAGGCTAGGAGGAGATATGATGACCAAAGCTCTCTCAAGGTCTAGCTATATGCTTTGCTAACTCTAATGGGAGTCTAGGGTACAGTATATAGTGTAGGGGCAAAGGAGGGTGGTAGGAGAGGGGTACATGACCTCTTGGCCTGAGTTGCACGCAGGCAGGGGTCGGACATCTGGGTTGGATGGCGGATAGTCCGTCCGCTGATGCAGGCGTTGCTCCAGCTGGTGCGGTCGGGCATGGAGCGATCTCTAGGAGCCGGACGTTCGGGCTGGAAGCTGGATTGTCCCGGGTCATGTCGGACGTCCGCGTTGGAGGCTGCAGTCGTTCGGCCGGCCGGCCGCTATAGCTTCGGCTGCATTTCTTCCTTGTCTCCTCACTTCTCCTCCACTATGACTTGGCCTTCTCCCCTCGCTTCTTCACGGTCAATTCCTTGGTACCTGAGTATGCATAGAGTCCCGGTTGTAGGTAGTAGCCATGTCTCGTGGGAAGGCATAGGAAGTTCGAAGAGGAGTGAATTCACCTCGGATTCCATGGGCCGGGCCCGTGCTCTAATCATTTTGGTCCAATTGGCATTTCGGGTGTTGGCGTAGGATCCATGGTCATGTGGATGGGCTAAAGGTATGATGTTACTTTCCTGATACCACTGGAAGTATTTGAGTTGGTGACGATTGTGGTGGGTGCTACATTTGTTCTCTCACCTCCTAGGTCAATCTCCCTTGGTGATCTCTTCACAATAATGATAAGTACAAAAAACCTCCTAACAAACATGCAACAGAACGCAAATCATGATTTGGGGCACAACCAGTGATTACGAGTCGAACGACTAGTCTAGACTAGTCGCTCGACTAGTCTACGAGTCGCAGAGTGGATGTCGACTCATTTTCTCGTGTAGACTACAAATACGAGTCGAGCCATGGATGGACTAGTCGACGACTAGTCTGGACTAGTCGACATATATGAGTCGAGCGACTCAAAAAAGAGAGCTGCCTCAGCTGGGACGAGGCGCCGCCAGCACCCACTGCCCTGCCGCCGCCGCCGCCGCCCACCGCACCACCCACCGCAGGGACGGCGGATGGCGCAGCCAGGTGCGGCGGCCGGCCGGAGCTCGTGCTCAGGCGGCGGCCATGGCCGTGACCCGTAGGGGCACGCGGCCTTGAGACGGGAGAGAAGGAAGAGAGAGAGAGGAGAGGAAAGGAGGAGGCATGGCGGTGGTCGGCGGGCTCGCCGGCGGCAGCGGCCGGGACCGGCGGAAGGCGGCAGGAGGCGCGGGTCGCGTGCGCGCCTGCTCTCGTGCGTGATGGCGCTGGCGGCGGCGATTGGAGAGGTCGGGAGCTAGGGTTCCAGTGGCTGGGGGCTAAGTAGGCTGGCCATTTGGGCCCAAATGGGCCAGCTGGGGGGTGATGCGTGGTGCTGGGCTAGTATTTAGACAGTGGCTGGTCCCATTCCATACCCACTTGGGCCCAGAACACTGCATAGCTCAATGATTTAGACGGTGGCTGGTTTTATTGCATACTGTACTGTTAGTATATACTACATACTACCACTAGGTATTAGTAGCTGAGTACTACAGTACCATGTCGACTAGTCTAGCACTAGTCTAGACTAGTCTCGATTAGTCTATGAGTCTCTACCTCGGAACGACTCGTCGACTTGTCGACTCGTAAACCTTGGGCACAACAAATATTGACGAGGGCCATTGCTGGCAGCTGGGAGGAGCTTGTCTGAGCGCAGTTGTGGCTCCAACTCCCAAGGGCTAGGAGCAGGCTAAGCCTGATGACAGCATCTTGGTGTGCTGGTATATCTTTTTTTTTTTCATTTTTAGCAGTCTAGCAGAATACCTGCTTTAGGCTAGTTACGTACATACTGCTTACTGACCCGGCAGTAGTCTGATTGTGCTCCTTGGTTGGTAGACACAAGGAGACTGTTTCTATTATAGATTTTCCTAGGGGATAATACATTTATTTGAGATGACAATCATGTGCTATTTCTATTTGTAAACTCTTCCTCTGTTCTAGGTCATCTGAAGTTCTGATAGCTCCTAGCCTATTACCATTTCTTGTTGCTGGGTTGATACAGCTCACTTTCAGTATTAGCTAGATGTCTTCCATCAAGAGAATGCAAGGTCCTTCAGATTTATTTAGATGAAATGGTATCCATATATTTCAGAATGCATTTGACCCTTTCAGTTTTATAACTTACAATGTAGCATGTCATTTCTACTTATAACACAAGTGTTGCTTATAATCTTTCCTGGAATCATATGGACAGAGATCTATGATACTGTATACTGAAAATCCTGATCAACAAGAAACATTTCAATCACGTATTGGATTGATAAGAAGAGATATGTCCAGATCACCACCTCCTGATGTGCTCCCTAGGAATGCATCCCCAAAAAGACCACTAGAGATGCCGCGGCTGTCTCATTCTGTATTGGGGCATGATCCTAGAAGATTGCCTGATAGAAATGGTTGGTTTGAACGGCAACGTGCTTTTGAGGATAGTGCACAACGACCTTCGATGAGCACGCTTGATGAAGAATATAGGAAACAAAGTGCAAGAGAACTTATTGATGCCTACGGAAATTCTCAAGGCAATGATGCTGATGATAGGCTTCCCAAGATGCAACGGCTAGAATCAAATGGCATGGCAAGTAGATCCAGTGCACAAAAATGGCTCACTTCAGAGGAAGAGGAGTATACTTGGGAGGATATGCGTCCAACTTTGTCCCAAAATCGAAACAACATTCCGTCTTTACCTTCCTCTGAAACCTTGAGAGCTGGATTTCCTGGGCCAAACACTGGGCAGCTGGATTCTGATATAGGGATGCGCAGCTGGCGAAGCCAGGCTCCTCGACCAGCACTAAATCTCGAAGACAGGACTGGTGTACGCTTGTCTTACCTTTTTTTTATTACGATGAATAGTAACATTGACACAACACTTCTCATACTTTCTATCACTTCTCCTTTTTCGATGATTTTTCTTCTATTGATCTTTTAACCCCTGCTTTGATATATATTTTTTTCCACTTTATCATGATGACAATTTTATACAACCTAGATCAGCAATTTTTATTATAGTGTGTTTGTAAATTTGATTAATTATACAGTTATGTTTTGTGGAAGTATTCTTTGCAACAAATCATAGATTTCTGGCAGCTAATCTAATTATGTACAAAGATATTGTTGTTACACTTAATGACTGAAAAGGGTATCTGTCTCGTATGGCTTATATGTTTTCTTTCATGGTGATTCTTTTCCTTTTGATGGGCTACATATTTGTCCAAATGCATCTTCATTACCTGCATACGATGTTAGGGATCACTTGAACAAAACAGACTTTCCACTTCTTCAGCACTTCTTCATTTGGGTTTTGGAACTTGAATGCTATGGAAATGCATATATTCTGTCTGCCAACAAGTTTCTATAACACTCAGGAGTGCATACACCATGCGTAGTAGATTCCAAAGTAGTGTTCTGAAGTTTGAATTCTGAATAGTGCACTTCTTTTTTGATGGAATGCCTTGTGGCTATCTTTATTGCTTCTCAAATGGAGTTATGTCGTTTATCATCATGGGCATAGTACAACCAGTAGGGTCTTCATCCCAAACACTAGTTTCAAGAGAAAGGAAACGACTTTTAGCAATCTCATGGGCTACCTCATTTGATTCTCTTGGACAGTGTTCAGTTTTGACTTCAGAGAAACCAGTAGCAAGGATGGTGCAGTCCTGGAATATATATTACTCCATTGCCATAATGTTTAAATGCAACTTCTCAATATTTAATCCTTTATCAGTTCAACTTATAAGCTAATGTTGTATTGATGTGGACCCACTTTACTACCTGTTGACTTAGCGTTGGTCTTTTTTGCAGCATGTTGACATAGCCACTAGTAGGAGATATCCAGGCAATTTTGGTCTCCACAATGGAGCTATTTCAGAGTACCATAGTTCTGAGAATACCCTTGATCCTGGAAGAATTCTTGCTATGTCAGCTCCACCGTGGCAGCAGACTAATGGCCTGCCTTTGCGAATACAAGCACCTCAACCTTCATCAACACTGAATAGGTCGGCACTGCCCACTGATGTTGAAATGCCTGTCAAGATGTTGGCCACTGGTGGTCCATATGATGCTATGCATGTAGACTTACCCTTGACTAATAGGTCCTCGCCTGCTCCTGCTCCCATAGAATGGCCTCTTCATCATCATAGTCAACCACCACATAATACAAAAGATACTAGAGGTGCAACAGATAGTCTTGAAGTTAGGCCATTTATCAGGCATGGAGTCAATTCATCTGTATTTGTTCCTCGGCATCTATATGATGCATTGGATCGGAAAACTGTAAGTACCGGTAACTTAGCTCAACCACCATACCAGCACCCAGATTTGTTGTCATCGAGTCAACAAAATCAAGGTACAAATTTTGGAAATCAATCTCAGCCTCATGATGTGCCACAGTTTCATCCTCATTCCCATTCCCATCCTCCGGAGACATTTAGAAGCTTTGCCCCCAGCATGCCTATAGCTCCCCCCCAAAATCGATTCCAAGGACAAGGAGGTAGTGCAGCAGTACCACCAGTTACACCTCTACCGAACACCTTTTCTGTAACACCTACCGTGCAACCCTATGGTGTGTCTTCAGTGTCTAGTTTTGCTCTGCCACCATTACATCGTGGCCTACCTCCTGCTTCGTTGCAGATGGGTCCATCTTCATCACAAGTTGGTGGGCCTACAACATATTTCTCTGGAATTTTAAGTAACCTTATGAATCATGGTGTAATTACACTGGAGCCTTCTAGTCAACCTCAGGTACTTCTCATGCATGTGTGCATCTTATTACGTTACAGCTATCTAATATTATTTTGTTATGCAGTTAATTCAATGATTTTTATTGTATATGTATTCATTTAGGACTCTGTTGGAGTTGACTTCAATGTAGACCTCAAGGTGTGGAATGAGTCTGTCATTAATGCTCTGTATCAGGATCTCCACAGGCAATGCAAAACGTGTGGACTTCGTTTTAAATGCCAGGAAGAGCACCGTGCTCATATGGATTGGCATGTTACGAAAAACAGAAATTCCAAAAATCGCAAGCAATCTTCACGTAAATATTTTGTCACAGTGGGGGAATGGTTAAGAGCAGCAGAAACAGTAGGAAATGATGGTGTTCCTTCTTTCGAGCTCACGGAACCAATCCCTGACAGAAATGAAGAGAAAGAAATGGCTGTTCCTGCCGATGAAAACCAAACAACATGTGCTTTATGTCAAGAGCCATTTGAGGATTTCTACAGCGATGAAACTGAAGAGTGGATGTACAAAGGTGCAGTTTACATGAATGCACCTGATGGTAATATTGTTGGTCTCCAAAGGTCGCATTTGGGGCCTATTGTCCATTCCAAGTGTCGATCTGGCCCCAGTAATATTTCTTAGGTGGGCCTAGCTGGTGAGTATCTGTGCAATTTCATGCTGCGACCAAAAATGCAAAAAATGATTTGGAGAACATACCATATAACCCTGACCTTGCAACTTGACTATACTATACTTGAGACCATATTTTTTGCCTCCTATAAAAGGAACTGAGACCGTAATTTGTCCTGTATTCTAATACACATTCAGCTGTGGTTATATTTTTATTATACGTGACCTAGAGGAGCTAGACAATAACGCTGAATGTGATACTCCTTCATTATTTCACTCTTAGTTGATAGTTGATTTACATGCAATATACATGCTTTGTAGCAATATCAGTTCATCAAATACTGCTTCCGTGCATATACATGCTTCGTAGCAATATTGTTCATCAAATACTGCTTCCTTTTGGTTGGGGACATTCTGTTTGTTGTGTTTGAAGGATTGTGATTCTTAATATCTTTGAGTGTTTCTGTCACTTCCATGCTACCATTCATTGTTAGCCTGCTTCATAACCTAGATCTTAGGACGTTCTCATATAACTCATGGCATGATAAGATTCCATAGAAGACGTCGTTCAAAGAGGTAACTATGTTGATTTGTTGATTGCAGGAACCCTTGCCCCATTATTTCAGTTTCTTTGGTTGCGGCTAGACAAGACATGTAAAATTACTGGAGAAATCAGATTTTGGTATGCTTAGTTTCCCCCCTCTCCTGGCAACAGTTTGAATAGAATGTTAATGTGACAATAGTAGTGTAATACTGTAAAATACTTGTGTTTTAGTGATGGAGCATGAGTAACTTGCTCTGCAGTCGCCACAGTTGTCACCTGCTGCTTTTACATTAATATATGGAATCCTCTTAATCTAGGATGACATGCAAACCCTTCATGAACAGGCGAAACAAACATGCTCCTGCCCTTTTCTTGTCCCCTTCCTCTCTGCAATCTCATATGCAGGACAATGTCAGCCCATGAGTGCTGGTAACTTCCGAGAAAACCCAGGACGAAAGAATCAAGGCATCCGTCAACAGCTCTCCTATACTACTTATAGATGAGCAAGATGTTGCTGTTATTTTCTTTGGTTTGTCTTTCTTTGCACGTCTCTGCATTGTAACAGTTTCGTGACACTAAATTCTTGGTGGCGCAGATCCCACCCTACTGGATTGTTTGCTGTTAAAAAAAAGAATCCGTTTGAGCGATATGTGGCTATGTCTTTTTGTAGGGAGCATTACTGCAGACAAAAAACTCGGCTCTTCTGCTATGGCGATCACTCACTCATTTGCAGACAAAAAACTCAGCTCCTCATTTAACCAATACAATAAACATCCCAAAAAGATATAGATATACTCCCTCCGTCCTAAAATAATAAGTGTCTATCAAAGTACAACTTTGTGCTAAAGTTGATACAAAGTTGAGACACTGTACTTTAATTGAGACACTGTACATAAAAAGAGTTGAGACACTGTATTAAAGTTCATACAAAGTTAAGACACTTATTTTGGGATGAAGGGAGTAGTGCTTTCTTTCTGTTTCATAATAAGTGTCTCAATCAAAGTAGAAAATTGTATTAAAGTTAGTATGAAGTTAAAACACTTATTTTGGGACGGAAGTGTTTATTCTCTCAGTCCCAAAATAAGTGTCAGTAACTTTATACGAACTTTGTTACTGACACTTATTTTGGGACGGAGGAAGTAGTACTCTAACAATTTAGAGCTGAGCAAACATCTCTAATTGATCCCCAAAACAAAAGAGTTATGTTTTTGTTGAAGCCGCACAACAGAATTCCCAAGCATAACAAAAAAGGTATTATGACATTTATAATAAGAAACTTAACCAATTTGAAAATTTAAATTATATGTTTTTGTTGAAGCTGCACAATAGAATTCCCAAGCATAATATGACATTAAAAATAAGAAACATAACCAATTTGAAAATTTAAATTATATGTGTATAATATAGTATACATGAAGATATAAATAAAACAACCTAGCCAAGCACCGAGACAGCTCCGCAACCGGAGTCATAAGCGGGGAACAAGATCCCGGCTTTGTTGAGGACCCTCAAACATCCCTTATCTTCAAAGATGTTTTTTTTATCAGGAAAGTATTGATGGTGCCGAGGTGGCTGTTATTATTGATCGCCTGGGGTAAGCCCTCCTCAAACACGGTTGTCGCCCTTCATCCTTCTACGCGAAAATGAACCATCACTGCTGCCGCACCGGCCGCGAGCACCTTCGCCCCTTCTAACACGGGCCGTCGCTCGAAGCGCTAGAAGAGCACCTCGGCTCCCAAGGGGCTTGAGCAAAGATGAATCCTGGGCCGACCATTGGCCAGGCCGCCGTCGCCGAGGACGCAGTACATGAACCACCTTCCTCTGGCGCCTAAGTATTGCTTTCCCTGTAATCTTTTAAACCTTCCTCATGTCATTTTATTCTATGCGGTTTTACCTATGAACTTGCACGCCTCCCCCTTCCGTCGTGGCGCCGGCTACCGAGGTCTCGGGCACTCATGTCCCCGTCCCCGAGGCGGCTTCCAAATAGCCACAACCCTTCGAGGAACCTCCCGGCGCTCCTCAACTAGAGTCTTCAGTGGCGCATTCCGCAATTGTCTCTGAGGTCAAACCATGTTGCATCATCGGGCGAGGACTTCACTGGTCAACCCTATTTTTAATGACTAGGAATTCAACGCCATGCCCACTTCAGAGCTGCTCGCATGGGGCTTAAAGAGGCTGTCGACGTGCTAGCAGTGGGTTTGCAGGTAAATGCTAATTTTATGAATCTAGAGTTCTTGGTCAACCTAGTGGCCCTCAAGGTGTATGCGTATTTTAGGCTTGCATACACCAAAGACAAATTTGTATAAGGACTTTTACAAGGTTTAGCCTTATACCCTTTTGCATAGCCGAGGAGCTTTTGAGAAGAACGCTAGGTGCAGTAACCCCTGAGCCACTGGTCAGGTACCAATACCGGACCAGGGGATCGAAATATCTCGTGGTGCTTAATGGCATGTATTTGTATAAGCGCGAAGCCCGGTAACTCTCGAGCCTTAGTTTGGGCATTGGTGGCCGAATTAAGTATCAATTTTAATTAGCTAACAATACCTTTTCTTCCATGTAGACTTCTCGGCAAGAGAACAAAAAACTCTTTAAGGAGCTTGAGGTAGACATGGCTAGCCATTTCGACTCTCAAAAGGAAGTGGCGGACATCAAGAAATTCACTCGTGAGGCTCATGGTAAGTTTTGTTCCCGGACGATTATCGACTAGGCGCTTTGTTAGGTACTTAATCTCTATACTACTTATTAGCAGCGGAGACCATTGGCGAGCTTGAAGAGGATCTGAAGTAGGCTTGAGAGGCCGCCCGCTATGCCGAAGCACAAGAGGCTGTTGGTCGTTGGGTCCATACTAGGGAGATCGAGGAGTGTAATCAACTCCAGGTGGAGAAAGACCAATAGGTGCTGAAGATTGAAAGACTTAAAATATCAGCTGGGCGCCTCCGAGGAGACCAGGTGGGCATGTGAAGCTTTTGCGGGTAAGTATCTTACCTGTATCAACATAAGTCTTTGTTTCGACTTCTACGTAAAACATTTACTGTATTATGTGCAGCTGACCTGCCCGGGAAATTCGGCGAGCCCGGCTGCACATCTATGAAATACATCCTGAAGGCGGTTAAAGAGTTGCATCGGCTCTCACAAAAATCCATGGTGAAATTATTCCGTGCTTTGTGGCTGGATGACGCCCTGTCGAAAGATGTGATCGTGCTGATGCAAATGCCTCAATGGAGCCAGACGCCAGACGTGGAAGGTGTCGGCCTGCCGAGAAGGTGCTCGGGAGGCTTTGGGCTATTGCCAAGACACACTACCGTCTTTTGAAGACCGAAGTGCTCGCCAAGGTTGTTCCTAAAGGAGTTAATGGGAATGAAATTAAGTCCGTTATCAATTATGAGAATGTTATGCCTGCGGCCCGCTTTCCCGAGCGGGATTGTCGCCTCGACATTTTTTTGAGAACTTTCGCCTCGACAAAATCATCAATGGCCTCGACTGAATTTTTGTAAACAGTCTAAGATTAATTATGACTTTATGTATCCATGTACATTGTCACTTTCGATGCTCATATCTGTAGATTTTATACTTTGTTAACCAACCATTGGCTTCCACCTCCTTAGCCAGAGGACGAAGAGTGTTCCCAACATTAGCCTGAGTCCCCGGGTGACGTTTTTGTTTTATGGAACGAGGCAATCCAGTCTTAGGGTCAAAATTTAAGTCTTACAGAGAGTTATATGATATTGCTTTCTAATGCAATTTCACATCTTTGGCAAAAAATAGTTCCTCTATCAATTCTTTTCTGCCGGGGTGTCGTATTTATCACAACCAGTGCAACCGATATCTCGATGCTTTGCTAGAAGGCAGTGTTCGGGAACATAATCAACATTAATAATGTAGGTTCTAAACTCTACGCGACTACCTTCATGTTGCAAGCTATTGCATTTTCACTTCCCTCATGCTGACCAATTGTGTTCTTGTGATCGCTAGCTTTCGGTTTCACCCGTTTGAGGTACTATACCAGGTTAACAGGAATGTAACAATCATAGAGGTGCTCCCTTTACACCCTTAGACAAATTGACAAAAACATAAGGGGTAAGCATAGGAGCCAGTCAACCCAACTTGGCAAAACATCTCAAGTCAAATTGATGCATATTGTGGCTTTATAACGATTTTTGCGAAGGGGGTACACATCTATGTGAGATGATACAGAGGATGTATTGGGCTCCGGAGGAAAGCCAAGAAGGTTGTGCCGAGGTGTCTCAAGAAGCCCCCAATACATGTTATCAGATTCTTTTATAGATCCAAGGTGTTTTATGCTGACGAGTTGTTTCTTCCTAAAACAAGACTCTTGGCTTCAAGTTAAATACTGCGCATTGTGTGGCCATGAGCCGTACTTTGCGTAGTAGATCATTGGAAGGAATAAGATATATTAGTATGATACATCGATGCTAATATTTATTCAAAAAGTTTTTAAGCATGAGAA